GAGTGGGGATCAATTTGACTCCGCTGAAATCTCAGAAATTAAGAAAGCTAAAGATACCAGATTTACAGGGTGTGTTGGGCCGTACGTCAACTCACTTGGGTCAAATTTTGAGCTTCCTAGACTATGATCTTTGGGTCACATAAGGTCAAACAAAGTCAAACTCCAGTTTGGTCCCCAAAGTTCCCCAGAACCTAGATGCCTGTTCTAAACTAAAGATCACGTGCTTATTTAAGGACAGTGACCTTGTCTGATCTTTTGATGGTCTTGGTGACCAAAACTATACAGCACTGATTTGAGTTTTGCATTTGAATAGGCGACAAAGATTACACTAGACAGTATGTTCCTAAAAACAAAACGCTGACCAGGGTTATTTTAAGTCAGAAGCCTATTATATCCTTAATGCAGTCTATGGAAGATATACATGAGGTTCCTGTCATCAATAAATTCGAAATGAGGTCCAGAAACCAACCATACAGCAAACCCTAGAGTAATAAAACAGGTTGATTTTGACCTTGATCTCCCTCATGCCTGACCCTAGATTAATAAAATTTGTGCATTTAATCTTTGTGTTGCCTAAGAAAGCATGTCAGAGATGTATGGCTTCGTCTAACACTCCGCTGTTGCATTAGATTGAACGATTCCCTAGAGATTGACTCCACTGAATCCATGGCTTGAATTTGACCTCCCTTTGGTCCCTCGTCTAACACTCCGCTGTTGCATTAGATTGAACGATTCCCTAGAGATTGACTCCACTGAATCCATGGCTTGAATTTGCCCTCCCTTTGGTCCCTCGTCTAACACTCCGCTGTTGCATTAGATTGAACGATTCCCTAGATATTGACTCCACTGAATCCATGGCTTGAATTTGACCTCCCTTTGGTCAGCGACTTTACAATGTGCATCTAAGCTTTGGTACCAAACGATTTACTATTTAATTTTCTACAGAAAATATGCAAAATTTGGCGCGGCTGCACCGCACCGTTCGGAAGCCATTCTGGAAAAATCTTCGCGGGTCAATTTGACCCCCATCCGAAGGCGTGTTAGATGACATGGTGCGTTATGCTTATGACATAGGAAGATCACTGTAATAGTAGCTCTGGAAAAGTGAGTGCCGTTGATATTTGGATCCGCCTTGTAACGAATTTGTTCTTGCTGCACATTCACACCGAATGTTTGGGTCGTTACGCCTACGTTCTACACATGCACGACCTGTATATTGCGATCCAATTATCTTGGGCTATTCTCTTCTACTGCTGTCTTTTCCTTTCCTATTCAAATGCCAAAAACGTACTTGAGAAAAGACAGAAAGGGAAGCCCAGGAAGGCTTTCTTGCCGCCACAGGGACTTCCGTGAGAGACGATCTACTATGTCGATAAACGCATATGAATTATGATAACGTGCGCTTCGGCCACGCAGACGGAGCGAACGGCTGCACATGTGTCGGACACCGGCCCGTACGTCAAATTGCATTATCACGTGACGTCTGGCCGAGCTGCCGCTGGGCTGTCGTGTGAACTGAACGTTGGATTCAAAAAAGCTTAAAACTTTATAATGTGCTTTTAACAGTGCCTGCCCGTCGAATGTGTCCATTGACACATAGAAGTTGTTGGGCAGTGAGGCGTGGAGCTATGACCCAATAATCAAAATGACTTCTTACAATCAACTTTATCGTGACGCAATTATTTGGCGCATCATCGGTGGAATACCGCTGGTGTGGAGTAACAATATGTAGTTAAATATGGTATTAGAGTCATTGAGTTAATGGAGTTGGATACATCACAAGTAAGAGTAACAAATTATAGCAAAAAGCGAATTCAGTGACAAAAAATATACTCATAACTCACGAAACCATAAACAAATTAATGTCGACAATGGTAGATGTGAGTTCTCTGCGCCCGGCGTCGGCCATCTAAGCAGGTGTGTGTGGTCATGCAACCCCTCCCGATATGGGGGAGGGGGGTGGGGCTCTAGATCCGTCACAACAGATAGAGTGGACTCAAACAAAAAGGATACATATTGGATGTTTGCCATTGATCCCCAGCAGATGGCATGTAGCTGATTTCACTTGGCAGAACCTAAAGAAGCCAATTAACTGAATGCATTTCTTTATCGCACACTAGGAGCCGGCAAATGACCATACTGCGGTGGTGCTTCTTTGGTTGCAGAGTAGCTTGGCCTTTTGTGGAGGCACGCTTAATTTAGGTTTTGTCAGAAATAAATTGTTTTATTGCAGAAAAAGGTGTCGACATCGAAAAGGATTCGAGCTGGCGTGGCTTAATCTAGAAAATAGGAGTTAATGGCATTCTTGAGCCAAAAACACAAGTAAAAGGAGAGGGGGTGTATTTTGTGTAAACACACACGAACTTAGCACACTCATAAGTTTTAAATAATTAAGATATCTTATCACTCTGTGACGTGCTGTTATTAAGTGCTGTTCTGCATTGGTCTGTTACGTGACATGATACAAGATTATGTGAATGCTGAGTGCATGTATACGCTTATTTCATCTAAGGTTGACGTAGGTAAAATGTGGGCGATTAAGGTTTTCTTGAATCATT